GACGTTAAACCGGCTACTATTGCCGCTATATTTAACGGTTGGGCTATCAAACGAGCTCCGAATGCGATGAAACTTGGCAAGCGACCTACTAACAACAAAACAACACCGCATGCCAACTTTCACCCCACTCTGAGAACATTTTCGGGCCACTTATAAAATACTATTTCGGACATGCCTCGGGCACGTGCAAGTGTGTCTGGGCTCAGAATGGACAACGGAAGGAACGAGGAGAACCCGGACGAATGCAAGTTTTAAACATGATGATGCAATGCACATGATGACATGATAAGAAATGCATGACACGCAAGCAAAGACAAGGAAACAACAGCGAATAACTGGAGGACACCTAGCACATCGGTCTCGGGGCGTTACAATCCAGGAGACTTGGACCCTACTGCAAGGGATCAAAGAGGTGGTCACGAGGGTGGGGCCCCTCCTAGGGCGCGCCCCCTGCCTCGTGGGCCCCTCGGTGCTCCACCGACGTACTCCTTCCTCCTATATATACACACGTACCCCCAAACGACCAGAACAGGGGCCAAAACCCTAATTCCACCACCGCAACTTTCTGTATCCCACGAGATCCCATCTTGGGGCCTGTTCCGGAGCTCCGCCGGAAGAGGGCCGTCATCACGGAGGGCTTCTACATCATCCTAGCCCCTCCAATGAAGTGTGAGTAGTTTACCTCAGACCTTCGGGTCCATAGTTAGTAGCTAGATGGCTTTTTCTCTCTCTCTTTGAATCTCAATACAAAGTTCTCCCCCTCTCTTGTGGAGATCTATTCGATGTAATCTTCTTTTTGCGGTGTGTTTGTTGAGACCGATGAATTGTGGGTTTATGATCAAGTCTATCTATGAATAATATTTGAATCTTCTCTGAATTTTTTTATGCATGATTGGTTATCTTTGCAAGTCTCTTCGAATTATCCGTTTGGTTTGGCCAACTAGATTGGTAGTTCTTGCCATGGGAGAAGTGCTTAGCTTTGGGTTCGATCTTGCGGTGTCCTTACCCAGTGACAGAAGGGGCAGCAAGGCACGTATTGTATCATTGCCATCAAGGATAACAAGATGGGGTTTATTTCATATTGGATGAATTTATCTCTCTACATCATGTCATCTTGCTTAAGGCGTTACTCTGTTTTTAACTTAATACTCTAGATGCATGATGGATAGCGGTCGATGAGTGGAGTAATAGTAGTAGATGCAGAATCGTTTCGATCTACTTGTCACAGACGTAATGCCTATATACATGATCATGCCTTGATATTCTCATAATTATGCACAATTCTATCAATTGCTCAATAGTAATTTGTTCACCCACCGTAGAATACTTATGCTCTTGAGAGAAGCCACTAGTGAAACCTATGGCCCCCGGGTCTATTCTCATCATATCAATCTCTATCACTTTTATATTGTTTTGCTATTTACTTTGCTTTTTTACTTTTTACTTTGCATCTTTATATCAAAAATAACAAAAATATTCTATCTATCAGATCTCACTCTCGTAAGTGACCGTGAAGGGCTTGACAACCCCTAATCGCGTCGGTTGCGAGTAGCTATCGCTTTGTGCAGGTACGAGGGACTTGAGCGTGGGCTCCTACTGGATTGATACCTTGGTTCTCAAAAACTGAGGGAAATACTTACGCTACTCTGCTGCATCATCCCTTCCTCTTCGGGGAAAACCAACGCAAGCTCAAGACGTAGCAATTATAATGATGCTCTAAATTTATCTCGGAAGGTGTTTGTTGAGGTGGCATAGATCGAGATTAGGACTTGTCACTTCGACTATCAAAGAGGTAGCTCTAGGCCCTCTCGGTAATACACATCATAAGCTTGCAAGCAAATGACTAAGGAGTTAGTCATGAGGAGATGTATTACGGAATGAGTAAATAGACTTGCCGGTAACGAGATTGAACTAGGTATGAAGATACCGACGATCGAATCTTGGGCAAGTAACATACCGATAGACAAAGGGAATTACGTATGTTGTCATAATAGTTCGACCGATAAAGATTTTCGTAGAATATGTTGGAGCCAATATGGGCATCCAGGTTCTGCTATTGGTTATTGACCGGAGAGGTGTCTCGGTCATGTCTACATAGTTCTCGAACCCGTAGGGTCCGCACGCTTAACGTTCGTTGACGATATAGTGTTATATGAGTTATATGATTTGGTGGCCGAATGTTGTTCGGAGTCCCGGATGAGATCACAAACATGACGAGTAGTCTCGAAATGGTTGAGAGGTAAAGATTGATATAGGACGATGGTATTTGGACACCGAAAGTGTTTCAGGACGTACCAGAAAGGAATCGGGTCACCGAAAGAGGTTCCGGGCACCCCCCGACAAGATATGGGCCTTATGGGCCAAAGGAGGGGATAGTCCATCCCACAAGGGGCTGGTGCGCCCCCTCCCTTGTTTGGCCAGCCCTAGGGAAGGAAAAGGTGGAGGGCTAGCCCCTCCTGCCTTTCCCTCTCATGGAAGAAAGGAAAGGGGGGGCACCCTCCCTGCCTTTCCCTGCACTCCAAATAAGGAAAGGGGGGCACGGCTTGGAAGGGACCCCAAGTAGGATTCCTCCTACTTGGGCGCCTCCTTTGGCTGCTCGTCCCTCCCTCCCACCTATATATATGTGGGAGGGGGCGCGTAGCACATAACAGACAATTGCCTAGCCGTGTGCGGCGCCCCCTTCACTGTTTATACCCCCGGTCATATTTTCGTAGTGCTTAGATGAAGCCCTGCGGAGATCACTTCACCATCACCGTCACCACGCCGTCGTGCTGTCGGAACTCAACTACTACTACCTCGCCTTCTTACTGGATCAAGAAGGCGGAGGACGTCATCGAGTTGAACGTGTGCAGAATGCGGAGGTGCCATGCGTTCGGTACTTGATCGATTGTAGCATGAAGAAGTTCGACTACATCAACCACGTTGTTTAACGCTTCCTCTTATGGTCTACGAGGGTACGCAGACACACTCTCCCCCTCGTTGCTATGCATCTCCATGGATAGGTCACTGTGTGTAGAATTTTTTTGTTTTCCATGCATCGATTCCCAACATTAACGAGTACAAGAAGATTGATAACACTCTTGCCTGCGTTGGGTGCAAGTATTTTCTCTTGTGTGTATGGGTACTGCTAAAGGTCGTTTGCGTGGATCTCCTATTAGCTCGACAACCTTAGTTCTCTACTGAGGAATTTCTTACTATATTGCTTCTCCCTTCCTCTTCGGGGAAAACTCCAACGCAGTTCACAAGTAGCAGTAGCCAACGAGGAAGAAGATCTGAGGCGGCTTCAGTCAAATCGATCGATGCGTAGGTGGCAGCGTTTCAGCTCGACTCAGGCGATGGGGACAGCTGGCGACCGGCTCAAACTCTGTTTGTCATGAACTTAATACGTAGAGAGGCCAGCATAGAAGCGTTGTCGAAGTGGAGTACTAGTAGTAGGCGTTAGTTAGTTCAATGGTCTACTTGTCACGGACGTCATGACTATGTACTAATCATGCCATGAATAACGTCATAACTATATGCTTTTCTATCAATTGCCCAATAGTAATTTGTGTATCCACCATATGCTATGTTTATAAGACAATTGTCTCTAGTGAAAACTATGGCCCCCGGATCTATTTTAATCATATTACTAAAACCCTAAAAACCCTGCTGCAATTTATTGAATTTTATTTTACTTTGCGATTTATATATCTCCTACTATCAGATTTGATGATTGCAATTAACGAGTACAAGGAAATTGATAACACTCTTGCCCGCGTTGGGTGCAAATATTTGCTCTTGTGTGTGTCGGCACTGCTAAAGGTCATTTGTGTGGATCTCCTATTGGTTCGATAAGCTTAGTTCTCTACTGTGGGAAATACTATCCGCTATTATATTGCTTCTCCCTTCCTCTTCGAGGAAAACCCCAACGCAGTTCACAAGTAGCAGCAGCCAATTAATGAGGAAGAAGATCCGAGGCGGTTTCAGTCAAATCAATCGATGCGTAGGTGGCAGCGTTTCAGCTCGACTCAGACGACGGCGACGGCCGGCGGCCGGCTCGGACTCGCGCAGAAGGGTGTCAAGGGCCAAATGAGGCGATGATGTAACAATGGAGGTGGTGGATAGTTGCTGGTAGGTGCGTTGGCGATGAATCAGTGGGGATGGGGGGTCGAAAAGTTGCCTCAACTTTTACTCGGACGGGTGGAGGCCAAGTGTTTTTAGGCGTCTACGAGCTAAGGAGTAAAAGTTTTGCGCACCTAACGATTTTTAGACTTCAGCCAGATGCGAGTTAGAAGAGTGAACCGCCATTTTTAGGGGATCGGCTAGAGATGCCTAATATGCCTAATAGCGAGCTGGGTCTAGCTTCTTCTAGGCTCTGTTTGGTTCAACTTTTATCGATGGATTTTACTGCCGCGCAGCAGAATCTGAACTAAAGGGCGAACCCAGCAGAATCCGATTCTAGAAATCCGCTGCCAAAATCTGAACCAAAAGCGAAAGCAGCCCATGACGTGTTTTTCAAAATCTGATTCCGTTGCGGGCCAAAATATGAAAAAGCTGTATCAGCTGGTTTGCCAAATGACCTATATCTTTTTCACATCAGATTTTCCATAATAGATTTTTCACAGCTGCTTTTAGAAATCCACAGCCGAACCAAACAGGGCCTAGGTGGTTCGGTTTCTGTTGGTGCAATCTGCTCAACTGGACTTAACTCCTCGGCCTTTTTTCCGTTGGATGTGTGTATCCTAGATGTCTTTGTGACATCTTATAGATGCAGAGGTCGGGTGTAATTGATATCTCTGTGATATTAATACATTACTGTAAAAAAACTCCTAAACTTCGCCGGCAGGTGCACATTGTGTTTCTAAAAGCAAAGCGAAGGACACTCGCTCGTTTTATTACAACACCACAAGCGCCCAAATCCACTGGCACCATGACACCACACACCCATTGCTAGACACACAAGGAAGCGCGCGCCGCGCACACACACTTGAGCTACCATTGGCAACTTATTAATCGACCTCTTACATGTTGGAAGCATGGCCCTCGTTGCCAGCGGTCTGGATGCCCTCGGCACGTGCGTTGGGTACGGCGCAGTTCAGCCGTATCTCGCCCTGGCTGCCGGTGAGCACGTCCATATTGCTCATCTTCACCATGGAGTTGGCAAACTGATTGAAAAAGACGAGCTGGTTGAGTGCGAACTGTGCGGCCATGCCTTTCGTGTCTGAGTGGTCGATGAGGCCCTGGTCGGACTTGAGCAGCCCACGCCTGGTGATGAGGTCGGTGTAGTACAAGTTGTCAAACACCTTTGGCGTGAGCCCGTCGAGTGCTTGGGTGACGGTGCCCTCCGGGACGTCCTTGGCGCACTTGGCCTGCAACATCTTGGCGAACTTGGGGCCGATGGCCGGGTTGGCGTCGATGATCGGCGTGAAGCGGTCGGAGAATGAGGGGCAATGGGCGACACCAAAGGCGTGCGCGCCGGAGAGCGCCACCAGGTCGGCCACGCCAAGGCTCCGGTTGCCGAAGGAGCTGATGAGGGTGGGCACGTCGAAGGATGGCGCTGGTAGAGCCAAGACGAGGTCCGGCGACGCCGGGGTAAGCCCGTCGCGACGGCCCAAGGGAAAGTCGATGTAGGGCCCTCCAGCCTGGATCCAAGATCCAACGCGTATTCGTACATGGTAGTTAGTTATGTAACCATATATAGTTTGAGCAATAAAGACTTGACTTTGCTCAAAAAAAGGAAAGAGTTAGTAGTTATGTAACTGGTTTTGCTGCTTCTCATACTTCCTCCGTTTCAAAATAAGTGTCTCAATTTTGTATTAAAAAGTTATATTAAACTTAAAACACTTATTTCATAACAGAGGGAGTATGACTGAGAATACCTATCTTTCCAAGTCCACGATATGAACAAATCGATCTAGACAAGAAGAGTTGGAGGGTTGATAATGTAAGTCTCCACGCTGAGAACCACTCGATCAAGCGATGACGAGTTGGTTTCATCTTTCATGTCCGTGTGTTTGTGGCAGGCAAGTATATATATACCTGCAGGAGGGCGTCACGGGTGGCCAGGACGGTGACATCGGCACAGGAGACAGTCCGGGGGCAGGTGCCTTCGACGCCGGCGTGGATGTCCTCGATGAGCTCGAGGGCCATCTGCCGGAGCGTCAGGTTGGGCCCCAACGCCTGCTCACTGTTGTTCCCTGTAAGGAGCACCGACGCGTGGCAGCCCTGCAACAGTAAAACACCAAATACCTACGTAGTACATTTCATCTTTGCATTCTTCTTAATGAATGAAATCCGGCAAAGCAGTACATACATACCTGTGGGAAGCAGTCGTGGAAGAAGTTGCGGATGAGGGCCGGTGCGACGCCGGGGTCGCGGCGGAAAGCCTTGGCTACATGGGACCTCAGGGCATCTCCAGCCGCGCCCCCAACAGGCCTCCCCAGGCCACTTTTTCGGCGCCGGTGCCGAAAAAACGGCCCAGTCGCGCCCCCGGGACGTCGAAAATCGCCGGTTCGGACCTTTTTTCCGCCCGGAGGTCACAGGCCGAACCCGGCGCGCTGGGAGCCGTTGGGGGCTCCGGCGCTAGGGAAAAGCACGCCTGGCCCACAGCGACAGGGGAAAAGTCAAGGTTTTCTTCCCCCGACTCGCCTCGCACCCCCCGCGCCCTCGGCCACCACTAGCTATATCCTGGCGACGGCCGCCGCCCTATTCCGCTAGATAGCCATTCCCCGCCGGAAAATAGCAGCGCTTCGCCGCGGCAGCCCCTCCCACAGCAGCTGGGCGTTTCCGGCCGCCGTTTCCGGCCGCGGAGGCGCGGTTTAACGGCGGGTACACGCCCACCGAGCGCAAGGTGTTCGGCATTTTGCCTGTCTCGGCGATGGACTCGGATGAGGAGGAAGAGCTCGCCGCGCTGCTGGAGGAGGAAGCCACGGCCGACGTCCAGGAAGAAGAGCATCTGATGGTGCTCGCCGCCCTCGCCCAGCTGCTGGCGAGCAATGAAAAGCCGCGGCGAGGTGGCTCGGCGCCGGGGCGGGTTAAAGCAAAGAACCGGCATCGTCTGCAAGGCTACTGCATGCTCTACTCCGACTACTTCGCTGATACTCCACTTCATGGCGAGAGAACATTTCGGCGCCGTTATCGGATGAGCCGAAAGCTCTTCCTCAGGATTGTGAATTCCATCCGGGAGTTCGACAACTACTTCAAGTGCAAGATGGATTGCACTGGCGCTCTTGGATTCACCTCCATCCAGAAGTGCACGACAGCGATGAGGATGCTTGCATATGGAGCTCCCAGTGATTCACTCGACGACTATGGGCGCATGGCCGAGTCCACCAGCATAGAGTGTTTCTACAAGTTCTGTCGGGCAGTGGTGGCAGTGTTTGGGCCACAATACTTGAGAACACCCAACGCGGAAGACACTGCTCGGATCCTAGCCCAGAATGCAGCAAGGGGATTTCCTGGGATGCTTGGAAGCATCGACTACATGCATTGGAAATGGAAGAACTGCCCATTTGGTTTGCAGGGGATGTACAAAGGCGCCAAAGGCGGTTGCAGTGTGGTGCTTGAGGCGGTAGCCACACAGGACCTCTGAATTTGGCACTCCTTCTTTGGTATGCCAGGAACTCACAATGACATCAACGTGCTGCAGTACTCTCCTGTTTTTGCCAAGCTCGTTGAGGGCCATTCTCCTCCGGTGAATTTTGAGATCAACGGGCACCAATACAACAAGGGGTACTACCTAGCAGATGGCATCTATCCGAGATGGTCGACATTTGTGAAGACGATCTCAAACCCTGTGCCAGGAGGCAAGAACGCCTGGTTTGCGAAAGTTCAGGAGGTTTGCCGGAAGGATGTCGAGCGGGCATTTGGTGTGCTCCAATCTCGATTCGCTGTTGTTCGGTACCCCGCTTAGACCTGGTCGAAAGATCAAATCTGGGAGATCATGACTTGTTGTGTCATCTTGCACAACATGATCATCGAGAGCGAGCAAGAAGACTCAGTGTTTGACACTGAATCATACTACAGGCAGGGTCCTCTAGCCGAAGTTGATCACCAGCTACCGGCAACTTGGACTGCCTATCTCAGTATGCGTCAGGAGATCCGAGACCCACAGGTGCATCATCAACTGCAGAAAGATCTGATTGAGCACCTATGGAGGCTCAAGGGGGACGCCGTGTGATAAAATACGAGTTTTTATTTGTTGAACTATATAATTTGTATTGAACTATTTGTTGTTGTACTATTTTGTTGAAATATTTGATTTTTCTGTGATAAAATATGTGATAAGAGATAATTGTGTTGATAATTGAACACCAAGACACGGCGAAACCACGCCGAATATGAGCCTATTCTCGTCCATATGAACCGTTTATTCGTCGAAATTGGGCTGCAAAGTGGGCAATTTCGGCGCTTGAGGGCGAGCTGGGGGCAACGACTGGGCGTAAAATCGCCCCCAACACCGAGTGTATCGCCGGCTTGCCCCCAAAAGGCGATTTTTATACGTCCTGGGAAGGCCAACGGCTGGAGATGCCCTCACAATGCGGCGGCCGGTGAGGAATGGACGGCGAAGGCCAAGGCCCGGACGACGATGGTCGCTGCTGCTCTGGAGGACTTCATTTCTGACTCTTGCACCTACAGCGGTCGTGTGGCTTCCTCAAGCAAGCTAGCTCCTTGCTAGCTATTTATGATCAGTAGGTGTCGGTCAGATCTCTCGGTGCAATAGCAGCTAGCTCGATCTGATCCGCGACAAGTCGCAGAGATATGCTGTACTTATATAACAATAGATAATTCAAGAACAAATCGCAGAGATCACGGATCCACGTGTGCTGCATGCGATCGAGCTAGCCACTCCATATCTTTTCCTCCATGTTTCCACTAATATAATATGTACGTACTATCCATGCGTTTCACCTGCCTTGCATAGTGCAGCCAACGCTGAGTCAACGACATGTTAGTAGTTGCCTAGCTCTACCTGTTGGAAATATGAACAAATTACTACGAGATTTAATTCGAATGAACAAAAAAAAATATAACAGCAATAGCAGAGACTAAATTAATCATGCGAACTAGCATAGTAGATAAACAGACCACATCTAGGGCACATACTAGAAACATGAATTCTACCACGATCTCGAACGGGAAGGATAGAATCACATACGGTGCAGCAGGAGCAGCACCACCGGCGTTGACGTTGTTGCCCATGCCGTCGAGGATGGGTTTGCCGAGGTCAGGGAAGAAGTCGTCGTTCGCGAAGTCGTCGCTGCCAGCAGTCACGCGAGTGTGCTCCCCAAAAACCTGATCGCCCATTTCACGTACAGGATCACGAGAGGCGGAGTTCTGGAGGCCTACTGTCCCTTCTCCCGGTGCACGCCGAAAGGAGGGATGGAGAAGACATGCTCGGCGGCACAATGATCTGGAACGGTGGTGAGAAACCATACGAAGCGGCGGCGGCTAGGGTAGACGTCTGCCTGACTATATAGTGCGGGTCGGGTAGGTCGTGGGAGTAAACCCCACGTCCGAGTCGTCACGATCCAAAAGAATCGGAAACAGTTCAGTAATTATTAATTAATGACTCATTAATTTTTTCCGAGCAGCAAAAATATAGACAAAGGGCATAGCTCTGTCCTCGGCTCAGCTTAATCTCGCGGCGCGGCGAGCGAGGGGGAGGAGCCCGCGTGTAGGTCTCCTCTTCTCATGCTCATACAAGTGGTAGAAGAACTCACCTTATAAAAAGGTGCAACTCTCTCTCAACTTTCAGGGTGGGACTAAACTTTAGTCTCACTCACTCCACTCACATGTATGCATGAATGGGCCAAGAGAATTTCAGAATTTTAGTTGGGCTTTGGGCCAAAGGCCCACTAGCAAACTCCAACAATCCTACACAAAGTCTCATTGGCACATCTCACCATTTGGTTTCAAAATATTGTTTTATATACCGGTGCTTAGCGCAGACTGTAAAGTTGAACTTTCACTTAAAGATTTATACTACACTAGATGACAACTTGAATAGCAGACTATGCCTTGAACTACAAGTTTTCTGTGAGACTAGTTACACACAAATTCTTGACCGATACTGGGCTGCCGCATGGCTTCCCTGCGGGTGGAGCGTATACGTCATACTCCAGGGCCTTTCATGAATTTATTAGAGAACACCCAATTTTCACAGACTGCGATGTTAATAGTCAAATTCATATAGGTGTGTTTCTCAGAGATGCTCTGCAGGACAACATCTGTGCTTACTAAAATAAGCCACTTGGAACACATTAAGATAAATATCAACCTGCCATGCAGATCAGGAGAGTATTGCATCTTCAGGGAGTGGGATAATTAAAATAGGGATACTCTCCTCTCAGCTGACCAACAGCTTGTCTCTCACTTCTACTTCACGGGATCTCCGATCACATAGAGTGGGTTACCACTATGGACAACTCATGCGGCGGGTTTCAAGTCCATCTCCATCGATGCATTATCTATCACGTTACGTGATAGACCCTTTGTGAAGGGATCTGTAAAGTTTTTCGACGTTTGGATATAATCCAACGTAATAACTCCGGAGTTCCTCAATTTTCTGACAGATTTTAGTCTCCTCTTCACATGCCTTGAGGACTTCATATTGTCCTTAGAACTGTTTATCTTGACGATCACAGTTTGATTATCATAGTTCATCAGGATAAGGCGTATTGGTTTTTCAACCATAGACAAGTCTATCAAGAGCTCACGAAGCCACTCTGCTTCAACAGTGGCAGTGTCTAATGCTGTGAGTTCTGCTTCCATAGTTGACCTCGTTAAGATGGTCTGCTTGCAAGCCTTCCAGGAAACAGCGCCACCACCAAGTGTAAAAACATAACCACTTGTGGCCTTAATCTCAACAGCATCGGATATCCAGTTTGAGTCACTATAACCCTCTAGTACTCTTGGATACGCGGTGTAGTGAATCTCATAGCTTGCAGTGTCTCTCAAATAGTGCATAACTCTCTCAAGCGCATGCCAAGGATCATCTTCCGGTTTTGACACAAACCGACTCAGCTTGCTCACAGCAAACGAAATGTCAGGGCTCGTGGCACTCGCCAAATACATAAGCGAGCCAATAATCTGAGAATACCTTAGTTGATCTCTAGCAATCCGTCGATTCTTTCGAAGCAACACACTAG